CAACTTTGCGGCCACCTACATCAACCTCTACCACGAAATTTTCACCCTTTGGACCTCTACTGATCATCGCCCAAGAGTCTCTGGGGTCCTTTCCTGACCACTCAGTCTCTAACTCTTCTGGTTCCCTAAGCGCAATCTATCCACACAAACACGACTAATGAAGTTTCGTGTAGAACCTGAGTCTGCGAAGGCGCCAACTTTGCGGCCACCTACATCCTCTACCACGAAATGTTCACCCTTTGGACCTCTACTGATCATCGCCCAAGAGTCTCTGGGGTCCTTTCCTGACCACTCAGTCTCTAACTCTTCTAGGGCCTCAGACACATCTCTCGAACAAAGCGTCCGTGGGTCTGCATGTGTCTGCGGGGCGATATGTGGGTCACTAGCCCTGGCCAACGCTTGAAGTGGGGAAGGCAACGTTACCACTTCAGCACGAGTAAGAGCGGCTAAAACTCCTACTGGCCCGAGGTGTTTCCCTGCGAAGTGCTCGCAGAAGCACCGCTAGGGTTCGAAGATAGTCCCACCACCGTTGGTGAGGCTACCCTCGTTAGGACTTTCTTACCTCGGCACGTTCTGGACGTGCGGCCATAGTTGCCACAGTTCATACACGTACCCCTAGCAACTCGGTCCCTCCACACCTCATACTCTAAACCAAGTTTTACCCATGCGGGCGTTCCTTGGTCGCCCTGACCCGTAGACCGGCCTACCTTCTTCTTCCCGGTACTCCGGAACTCGTCAATCTCCGTCGTTTAACCATCGTGGTCAACGAACATTAACTGACCCTTTTTCTTCCAGTCTTGGGGAAGTCTCTTCTTCCTACCATCTCCCTGACTCTGATTCAAATCCCAATTTTGCCTTTCTTGCTCAATGAAGCGAAGTTGTGCTGTTCGACATAGGCCACGTCTACCAGCTTTGTCCTAACCTCTGAAGGCAGACATCTAAGGTAATCCGTAAGGAGTACCTGCTGGTCATAGCGCACACCAGGTACCACGAGTAGACGTTCTACGCTATCCGTAAGCTCTCTAACATTCTTGTACCTTCTAGCACAAAGACTGTTGATCGCGTTTGTGGCCTTTTGAGCCCCTTGCGGGTCATGCCACCTATTGTACACGGACCGTACGAACTCTTCCAATGTCTGGGCCTGGGCCCAAGCATCGAAGTTCTGACCGTAGCCCTGTTGCTGCACTAGGCCATTCAACCAGCGGGCTGCTGACCCCTCTAGAAAGGAGGCAGCCACTACAACTTCTTGCTCCGCCCTTGTAAGCTTGTGCCTCACATAAGTAGGCACTGTCCTTACCCAGGTATCCAAATCCTCATCCTTCTTCCTGTCGTCGGAGAAGGGCTTAGGACTCAGCAAGGGTATTTTGGGCATCCACTGCATAGGCTGCACTGGCCCAGGGGATTGCTGCAGTGGCTGGATAGCCACCGAAACAGGTTGCTGCACACTAACCTAGGCCAGGCTTGACAGTGGGACTGTAGTAACCAAGGACCGGACCACTAGTCTCCACATAACCACCTGGAGGGGGCATGCCAAACATAGGTGAGAATGAAGGCCCTACTGGCGACGCCGTCACTGATGGACCCGCAACCGAAGGGGGAGCTACAGCAAACTGAGGCTGCCTCATCACTGGACAAGGAGCCTGTAATGCAGCCAGAATTCGTTTCTGGCCTGCCACTAGTTCAGCCAACACTTCCTACTGAACAACCTGGGTCTCCGCCACACACAGGAGCGACTTCCGCAGTGCTTGCATAGCGGGGTCTAATGTGGACTCGTCTAGCGCTTCAAGCTTGCCTAGCTCTTGCAATCTACTACCTAGTCTAGCTTTCCTCATTATAGCTTTTCTTCTTCTCTCCGCTGCTTCATCCAACTGCCGTTGCAACTCATCCTGAAGTCCTTCTGCTTGGAGGATCTCATAATCCTCCGGCGTGAGTTGAGCCTGCTGGCTGACTTGCGAGCCAACACTCTGGCTAATGGAAGCCTGAGAACCACTCTGACTGACTCCTAACGAAGTGGCCTGTGAAGAGGCCTGCGACATGGTAGAGGAAGTAGCCATGGTCATACTGGTGCTAGCTGTAATCCTAGATTTGGCACTGGCCTCAGCCACCCTCGCTTTTCTTGTCGCTGTTCTCTCTCTAGCCTCTCTCCACAGTCTCCTCTCGTCTCCTGGACCTAACTCTAGGAAAGTCAAAGGTCGACTGAGAGCAGTTCTACGAGTAGTCCTACGGTCATCCACTAACAACTCCTCCTCACTACTGCTTGCATCACTCATGAGCTACAGTGTGTCTAATCTAAACTAGAATCCACACTGAATCCTACCTCAGCATGACACACAACCGATTATGATACACCACTAACTTCGGTCGGCTTGGACAGGAACAGTTAGGTAGTTAGATGTCACCCAGTGTCGGATCCTACAGGGAATATTAAATATATTTTTAGATTACTCTAATACAGATTGCAATGCAACAAAGAATATACTAGTCTATCTGCAGCTGTCTGTCAGTTGTCAATCAAGTCTGTAACAACTAAATAATCAAAAATAAAAATAATGCTCCCTGTAGAGATGTATGCTGAATGGTTGTTTATCTAATCAATGCCACGGCGAACAGTTGCTGGAATCCAACCCTTTCCCTGTATCCCTCTTGAGTAGTCACTTTGTGTCGACGTTCCTAGGCATCTGGTTGAGCAACGTGTCTAAAGGTGTGCAATCCGGTCCACCCCTGTGCGTCGAGTCAACGCCGAACTTGCCAGCCCCTGCACATTATTTATCCTCGCATGCAACGAGCCTTACACCCGGTTTGATCTGGCTGATCAGGAGGCATTTAAGGAGATCCCCTGTAACTCCTCAGGAATTATTTAATGTCGCAGACAGGACGACAATCACAGCCAGAATCAACACCGACTCCCCGCCAGAAATATTTAGGTCTGGTAAGCGTTTGTTCAAAGGGCTGGCATGCCCTTCATGACCTCTATTGTGCAGCAGCAGTACCAAGGACTTGCGGCAAAGCATGCGTGTACTAGTCCCAGCGGGTTGGCATGGTGACCGTGACCCGAGTGCTTCGTCTAGGGCCCTTCAGAGGCATCGCCCATCTCCCACCAGCTTGCTGCCGAGGAAGAATGTCGACTCTCAAGGATGAGCGCTCGCGACACCTCACATTGAGAGGACTCTCAAGACAGAACTCACTTCCTCACGGTAAGAAGCAATGAAGAGGGTAGATAAGGAAGGACGCAACGTACCTCATGATGCTGCCCCCAACCACAGATTTCTCTCCGGCAACCTGATGTGCATTTATGATGACCGGTCTTTGCCTCGACACAACCAACAGCAGAATGCAGTTCCACCTCGGCTTAAATGCCACATCAGCAAGCTCTCATCATCCAGCGTACAGCCCTAATGTCACCACATAGCTTCCTGGCGCGCCCACACGACCCTGGGCCGCCTTACGTTCAACGCCCAAGCCTTATCACTGCCCCACACCTCATGCGAAGCACCGAACAGCTATTGCGAAGAACCAATGAGCGCAGTTTGAACCAGCTCTGATACCAAATTGCAAGGAAAATGAACAGAAGCGAGATGATAATGTTCAGATTGCACAATCACATTGAAGGCCAGATCGTATCACAGTGTTCAGAAAGTAGCATTGCACCAATATGACACCAATGGAGAATAGTAGCACTGAAAAACCAATGTCAATAAGAGCTTGCTCTCGCCACCACCAACATATGTATCCAGTCCGTATCTTCCTACTAGGCGCTCGGCACCCAACCTACTCCCTGCACAGCTACTACTAGCCTACTAATTGACAATGCAACTGCTGACGTCAGCAGCACCCGAAGTACTTGAAGATGTCGCCCATGCAGAACCATCGCCAATACCAGGTATGTGCCCTCACATCATCATCATCATCATCCTTCTCTCTCTCCCTTGACTCTCTCCCACGTCTTCCTTTGTTGTACACCCGCCGACCACCCCTGCGCCTCACTGTACATCCAAGCCCTGCCAGCTATGGAGGCTGGGCTATGGCGCTGCCCTCAGCAGCGCCCTGCTCCCTGCACGACCGCACGTGCCTGCACCTCGCCGCTCAGCGCTAGCAGCAGCCGAAGAGCTTCAGCTCCAGCAGCGCTGCCGCCAACATGCGAGTGCCTCAATCCCTGGCCAGGCAGCGAGCTCTTTCCTATATGGAAAGAGCCTGCCTCATTCGGCAGCCTGGCTGGACTGGCCTGGGCTCAGAAGCTTCCGGTAGGCCCCAGGATGCTGCGCCTCTGGTGCAGCTACTGGGCCTCATTCGGTTGGGCCTCCCAACTGTCTGTGTATGAGGCTGCGAATCTCGCCCAGGGCCTGTGCTTTCGGAAAGGCCTAGAAGGCCTGGGAATTTCCACGGCCTGTGTTTTCCTTCAACCAACTGGCGCAACAACACTGCCTGGACCCCAAATGCGAAATTGACAGCCGAGGGCCTCTCGTGATTTGTTAGGCCCACCTTCACTTAGGGCGGGCACAGATGGAACAGGGCCCCCCTTAGGCCTGCCGAGGATCTGAATCCTCGCATTTTTATTTTTTTATTTTTTTTTTGGCCCGCCCGGGCAAGTGGTCCCGGGCCACTCTGGTAGACCTAGGAAAACAACAAATATAAAAAAAGGTACCACCTGTCACCAATATCACACCTGCGTCACTACCACTCACACCGTTCCTCTTCCCCGACGCTGCCATCTGTCATGATAATCAGCCCTCTGGTGTACGCTGGTGTAAGCATAACATACAGAACGGGGCGTGGCGAGGAGTGACCCAAACACGCACACTGGGAAACTAAGGACAAGAGAGAAAAGACTGGGACATCACAGCCATGAACGAACCATCCGTGTAAAGCAGAGGGTAGATGCAACGCACTCGGTCATTTCGTTCTCCGTGTAAAAATCAAGGCTACCACAGTTGGGAGGAAGAGCAATGTGGTGGTGGCAGTGGTAATCAGAGGGGAGATGCACTGCAGTTGGTCATCATTACCTTATCCTCTTCGAAGCGGTCCACAGCATCTAGGAAAACGGCATCCTCCATGGCGTGTGAAATCTCAAATTCTCGAATAGTCCTTGCTTCTGTTACATGGTTTGTCGAAAACGGTGAAAGGCCAGCTTAGCAAATACAACAGATACAACAGTTCAAAAAACATCCTGCTTTTGGGAAAAAATATTTAAAAATAATAATAAAATAGTAAAAATTACTAAAAATATCCTTCTTCAAAAAAAAAAAGCACGGCGCTCTGCTGAATATGAGCATTCTAATACCCAGAAGGTAAGAAGAGTATGAACTACTAGGGAAGTCCCCTCTTAGGTTATTTGATTGCTTGGCGGAACATGGTGTTCTTCATTGAGTTGTCTGCGTCGATTACTTGCAATTGGGATCTTTAAATCTTTTCACAATTGAGTTATCCATTGACTTGACTTATCTGCATGGATTACTTGCTATTGAGATCTTTTTTTTTCATCTTTGAGTCATCCATTGAGTTATCATCGGGTTATCCGTTGAGTCATCAATTGAGTTATCCTAATGGATAGTTAATACTTATTAATTACACACTATTTGAGAGCTTTTTACCATTGAGTTATCCGCATCCCGTAGCACCTGCCGACCGATCCACCTCAAGCACCTACGGACCGACCAACCCCAGGTACTGAGGTCTTTTAACCACTAAGTTGTCTATTCATCAATTCAGTAGATGGATAACTTAACGGATACATAGTACATACATCCATGAACCAATTGCGTTATTCATACCAATTTGACCTTGTTATCTGTAAATAAGTGTTGCACATCCGGCGCCATCCGCTACTGACGTATACGTAACCGCACGAGCCGCACGCCTGTGCGGTGCGGTGCGGTGCGCCGCAGGACGCCAGGAACCCGCCCATGTGTCGCACCAGCAACAATTTCCGGTTTTTTCACTTTTTTAACTATTCTTTTTTTTTTTTTTTTTTTGCCGTTTTAATAGATGCAGAAGAGTGTACTACCTCAGGAAGAGATCCTGTTCAATACAGCAGTGCAAATTTTTCTTCTTGGTACCATTGAGCATCAGAAAGAGCCTCAAATAGGTCTTCGGGACATTAGTCTCGAGTCTCGAGTCTTGAGTCTTGAGTCTTGACCGGTAGGTGGTGACGTAACTGACGTTACTCTCCCATCATGCTGCAACAAATTTCCGAAGGGGGTGCAGGTGACCACTGGTGCAGGCCTGCGACCCCTTTTTTTTCTGGGTGCCGATCTCCCCCGGGGTGTCGTACATGCGCAATTGCCCGCACGGGATGCACTTGCATGTATGATACTTATTGATCCGATCTGGAGTTCCCTGCGCCATACATTCTCGTTCTGCTCGACTTCCCGAACGTGGACAACATGCATATATATCTTTGAAAAGATGGCACCTGCTCCTTCCCCCTCCCCACCACAGAAGCACACACACTCGCACAAACAAGTAGACATGCATGTGCATTATGCAGAAAAAACACATACACTCATGCACAGCACAGACATGTGATTCTTGACTTAGCATGCATGCATGGGCGGGAAGACAGCTAAGTGGGCATGATCTTATGCCTTCGCATCAGCCCCTTGGGATGGTTGCTGGCTGGTTTTGCCTTGGAGGAGGAGGAGAAATGAGGAACTGGGCAGAGTGCACGGCTGGCAAAGCTTCTTTCTTTTTCTTCTTCTTCTTTTAATTTGCACCATTTCATGATTACCGCATGTCACATACTTGCGCAGCGACCATGCTAATCTTCTCTGTATCGTTCCAATTTTAACGGATGTCCCAACGCATGTCATACTTGCGCAGCGACCATGTTAATCTTCTCTGTACCGTTCCACTTTCAACGGATGTCCCAAAGGACATGACAGGTGTCCCAAAGTACACTCCTTGTTGTGTCATATAGCAAAACAAGAAATAAAAGAAAGCAAGATTCACGCCAAGTTGTCTGCTGAGTGTGTATGTGCCCCAAGGAACCGTGCACTCTGCCCTGTTCCAATGCCAACGGATGTCCCAAAGGACACAACCGGTCTCCCAAAGGACACTCCTACCACACCTTCTCACAGTCCCACATACATACACACTCATCAGGCAACTTGGAGCAAATCTTGCTTTCTTTTATTTCTTGTTTTGCTCTATAAGGGGACTCTCACTACTGTATCCAACTGGATTTGAACACTGGATCTGTTTATGACAGTGCGTACTACGTAGTTACAGTTGTGTTAGCACTGTGTTTACCAATTCAGCCACCAGGCAGGTACAGGAGCAGACATCGCTTGAATCCGAGAGCGTGGCAAGAAAAACACTCCCTGCAGCCAGAAGACGACAAGATGAGTGCGGCTTGTCCCCCCTGGCGGGTTGTGGGAGTAATTGCCTCTGAGCTTCCCAGATCGCGCCAGGTGTTAGGAGCTTGGGTAGTGGTCCCCGCACAGAGCAGATATAGGTAGGCTATAGATAGGTAGGCCCAGCTTCCCTCCCGACCCATAACCCTTAGCAACCCATAACCAGTAGAATAGTTCGCTTCCATCGGCATATTAAGGTACGGCTTGTGATCCAACCAGTGCAGAAAGATAAGGGCAGTCACGAGACTACATAAGGGTAGGTAGGTAATTAGGGTGAGGTAGATACAAGATTGAGAGAAGAGAATAGGGTAGGAAAATACAGCTCGTCCCCCGTATGAGGAGAAGACGGCTGTTTTTTTTTTTGTTTTTAACTTTTTGTTTACGAAAAAAAAAGAAGACGAGACGAGTGCAGTAGGATTCGAACACTGTATCTGTTTATGACAGTATATAGTTACAGTTGTGTTAGCACCGTGTTTACCAATTCAGCCACCAGGCAGGTAAAGGAGCAAACATCGCTTGAATCCGAGAGCACAGCAAGAAAAGCACTCCCTGCAACCAGAAGAAAACGCGATGAGTGCAGCAGGAGCTTTTACGCACTCGTCTATCATACGGCACATTCAGGGATCGAGTCCCGTAGGGAAACAAAAAAGAAAGAAAGAAAGACGAGACAAGTGCATTATGCTCGATCAAATTACATTGCTATATACACGGCTGAAGTCTCAAAGTTCATTTCAAATTTCAAAAACAAATAGTCTGCTTTCACCTTCTCTCTCTGCCTCTTGCCTAAGATCCTCATATAGAGCTCTCTCCATGGTGAGCAGAAGCTCTTCATACTCCTCATTGTTGAGCTCATCGGGTGGTTGAGGATAACTATAGCATCTCGGTCCTGCACGGTGATCGTCTGGCACTCGTCTGTCGAATTCCCAAAGCATATCGACCTCCATAGCCTGCTCCTTCGCTTCGCTGCCAACCATCGGGCCTGCATTTGACTGACATGAGGGATTTTGGTGCTCTTCCTCATGGGCCTGACAAGGTCCGTTCTCCTCCCCACGCTCTGCTTCATTGCGATTCTGAAGTCGTCCAACCTCGTTCGAGATGATGAAGCCAAATGCTGAGGAGATAACGTTCTGCACAGAGCGTACCGACAAACAACGCAGATTGGAAAGTGAGTACGTGGATGACATGCACTAGAAAAAAAGTGAGTCCTTGAACGTTAGGGCATCAACCCACTGGTGCTACGTTCATGCTATGAACACACAAACCTGGCCATGTTTACGACCAGGTCCATGCCTTCCAAGCAGGCACAAACTTATCACCACTGGGGCCTGCACCCTAGAGAACATTCTGCATAGAGCGCACCGCATTAAACAATGGTGATAAGTTTGTGCCACGTCATCGACGCCACGACATCGCAGCCACGCCTCGTCCTCGTCGTCCTGCCACTGCCGCGATCCTTGCCGCGCCGCCAGGTAAGCACAAAAATTTTCTCTTTCTTTTCTTCTTTCGTCTTCTTCTTCTTTTCTTCTTTCGTCTTCTTCTTCTTTTCTTCTTCATTCTCTCGAAGACTCCCCTCCCCCGCGACTTTGAAACTTCGATTCTGAATCGAAATCGAACTCCAAGTCGACTTCGATTTCAAATCGAAATCGATTCCGATTCACCCCTCTCCCCAACTCCGCTATCGACCCGACCCCGAC